CTGGTCAAAAGTGATCATATAATCAGCTCGGCATATAGAGTCATATTTTCTCATGTGAATGCATTTTGCTAAACCGATGTTCTGGCCAAACATTATATTATAAAAATCACGCGTAAAAACTAAATTAGTGGCTGATCACCACTCCTTTGACACTTCGGTTTGATTTAATTACTTCTGAAGTAGATAAGACGAAAGCCGAGGACAATACTCGCACGACCTTCGATCAAACTTTTCAGGCCGAAGGGAATACTGAAAGCTTGGTATTCGATCTTGATCGTCGTTTGGTATAAGACGGGCAAATGAATCTCGGTTCCAGCACCAGTCTAAAGAATGCCCCCGCACCGCAAGGCAAAAGAAACTTTTTGACTTCGCAAAAACCTTAAACTTAAGGGCTATCTCGTCAACGAGGATAAAAAGACATGGATGATAAAACTATCAAATTACCTTTATTCATTAAGAAAGCATTCGTCTAACGTACATCTTTCTAAAAACAAAAAAAAAGCACTACAAATTACAAAAGTCTTGAACGCCGCTTCGGCAATCGGATCCCTGCCGCTTCTAGCTCCGCGTCAGGAGGTCACATATGAACTCGTGTTGGAGCAGCGAAGTCATCTGGAGAAAGCGGAACATCCTTCATCCCGTGACGCTCTATCTTCAGACGGTCGGCTTCGGTGGAGTGAGATAGAAATTCCTTAATCGGAACCTCGTGTCCCGCCGACCTAAGTTGCTTATAGCAATCCGCTCTTACCTCGGCGTCAATGATTCGGAGCTCCAACCGATGAATATCGGGTTCTTGCACCATGAAAGCTTTAATCCGCTCAATGCAGGGGTCGTACCACTCGCAGAGATGCCAGTACGTCAGACCAACCATGCGATCAACTGATTTGCGTTGATGATCCCGAAACTCCTTCTCGATGGCAGCTGCCTTTTTGGCCTCTTCGGCCGTCCTCTTCTCCAGGCCTTCCCTGTGAAGTTGCCTCTCTTTGGCGGACTCAACCTTAAGAGAATGACATTCTAGCTCCAATTTGAGCTTCTCGCGCTCAAGTTCTTTGATCTTTGCCAAGGCACCCCAAAGCTCTCGGTCCTTGGCTACCAGTTCCTCAGCTTTATTCTCCTCTCGAGCGGATTATTTGTCATATAACTCGATTAAGGACACACATAAACCTAAACCTTGCATAAAATGCTGCGCCATCCCGGAGAAACAAGAGAATCGCTTCAGCTTCTCTACCGACGTCCCTTGGTTAGGCTTCCCCCTACACTGCCAGACTAAGTTTGCCGTGAAATACTCGTTAAGCATTGCCGGAGAATCTCCGCCCCAACGAAGCAGGAATTCATGAGGATTGAAACCAGGCTCCTCACGGGCGTCTTCTGGGTCTTTCGGTAAGCTACTTGTCAGACCCATCAGATTGAAATCCTGCTCTTCCACCGTCGCAAAAACGGAGCCTTGCTCCTCGATTGGCGATTCGACCTTCGAACCTTCCATTGGAACTCCTGGAGATGATCGCTCGTTCGCAAGATCCTGGCGAAGGAATCTTGCTTCTCTTCCTTAGCCGCATACTTTTAGAAATCTGAAATCGAGAAGAATAAAGAAAGAGAATCTTTGGAGAAAGGAGATATCTGGAGCAAGAAGACGAAGAGATAAAAGTAAGCAAAAATATCAGAAAAAAATTTCAACAATTTCCTAAAAGGACGCGTGTCGAGATTCGCATAATCTCGCCGCCTGGCAAACCCCTCACATTTCCCGCTTAAAAGCAAAATCCTAAAAGTGGGTCGGAATATTTAATAATTAATTCCTGGAAAGCACCACGTGTCAAGTCCACTTAAAATCGGGCCGAGTTGGCTATCGCGAAGCAATGCTCTTGACGAGCTAACGCCAGCAAGATCAACCCATTTAAAACTTCATGAAGTCCGCCGACCTGATTTACAATCAGTCTCGCCGAACTGGGCGGGGGGAAGACTTACTGTTAGAGGGGAAATGAGCATATTTCCTAAAAGGCTTTCTCTAGCAAGCAACCCAAGCCCATCAAGATCAGGAAGACCGCGTCGACCTAGCTCGGATTAAAGAAAATCTCTTGAGGATAATCTTCGAAGACCGGAAACATCGGATCGACTCAAAGGATAAGGAAGAATTTCTATATTCTTCAGAGAATAAGGGATATTTCCATATCGCGGATATGAAAATATTCACCAAAAACAAAAAGAAAAAGGAGTTCGGAGCAACCGACCTCCTATCCCTATAAATAAGAAGACTCTGAAGTCAAGACGACCAACTCATACATTCTAGAGAGCAGCAGAGCTAAAACCAGAGACTCCAACGCTTTCTAGTTTACTTTGCAAACACCTTTTTTCACTTCGACATAACCTTTCGGATATACCTTTCTTTGTAATCGCTATGCTTTCTTGCTATTAATAAAAAGATATTATTCTCCGAAACCCACAACTGTTAATTAAAATCCTAATGGTAATTTTTTGGTTCAACAATCAGTCTATCACCGTTGCCTAATTAAGTATCTAATATCCGAAGTGTTCGAATCTAAATTGAGTAGCTCCTCTTACACTATCTGAGTTTTTCTAGACTATTATAAAAGACATTCATAGTCAAAAAATTAATGACAAAAATAATAAACTTTGGTTTTTTACCACCGATCACAATGAGATCTAACACATCAAATGAGATCATGTTGTTGTAGATGAAACTGGTGTAGGCCTTTTTGTTAAAAAGGCTGGTGTAGGTGGAATGTTTTTTTTTTTTAATCTTTTCCTTACGCTACGTAGGGTTTCTTATTTTTTAGTTTTTGAAAGTAACTTTTTTTTTATTATTATTGGTCAACTACTTTATTTCCTCTCAAGCCTTGCATCTTTATATCTATATTTTCTTTAAAATTGTGCAATTATAAATCGAAATAATAATTATTTCGTTAAACGTCCCCACAGTCATCTCAAGGGCCAAAGAACGTACGTATATCATCATATTTAGAATACAAAAACTTCTAAATAGACCCTTTTGTACTTGTTTGATTCAAGATAACAACCCCCTGTTGATGTTTGGAAAACATAATGAACCCTTATGATTATATATATTCCATTACCAGATACACGTATACGAATTATACTTAGTACTCAAGTTTAGTCAAAATCTAAATTAACAATAAAAAAGAGTTATAGGATTTAGAGAACATAAAGCCAGAGATTAACTCCACAGAAAATGTGTTCTTGCAAGGTTATAGTCACTAATTTTATTGATGGGTGAATCTGAACAATTAATGTACAAAGTTAAGAGGGTGGTATCACAAGTTATTTATCACTAACGAAAAGGCTAGCATAAATTGATGTCTCTAGAGAGAGCAGAAAGAAGACAACCCATGACTTCCGCATTAGTTGGATTCAATTAAAGATTTAATTAGAGGCCAAACTTGAAGCTAATCATTGTATTTGGATGATAATATTAATAATTCTGGGCTCGCTAATTATAAGCATTTGTGGTGATTATCTGTTATACTATATATACGTGGTTAATAAATATCATTTTATTCTCTAATTATATATAATGTTATCACCAATGTCGTTTCAATAATGTTTTCTTGGTATCACATCGTTCCAATAATTAGATCCACACAACTGTAAAACTCTAACTAAGAATTTTCATTTTATATATGCTGGGACGTATATGTATAGTCATCTATATATATTATATATTATTATAGATGGTAAAATTATCGATTTTTGGGATGAAAATTAACAATACAGAGATAAGGGTCACATTCCTTGTGGTCCAAAGCCTTATTCGGTTATTCCTAGGTTTCGCCTTATAAACACCAAACCAAGGACAACTAAATAGACGAGGATAATAAATTAAACAGTATGAATTATTATTTTGTTGAAAATAAGGCTTAATGATACTTCAAGATTAAGGTTCTTATAAGAAATATATCCTACTAAGGGAAAACTAAAGATTAAGAAAATGAATAGAAAAGTTTTGGAATAGTATTGTCTGGTTATAACTTCGGATGAACTATAGAACAAATCCCCATAATAATTTTATTGACACATATCTATTTATTTACCTGCATATGAATATAATATTCGCAAAATAAAAATAACGTTGGTATCGGAACATATACGCGAAAAGAAAGATAATGTTTTGGTATCCAACATTCACATCATTCGTATGTATTCTTTAACAACAGAAAACATCATTGTCATTAAAGAAAAAAAAAACATAAAAGAAACATCATTGTACATTTAAACTCTCTAGGCAAAAAGAATACCTCGCTACGACACCTAAATGGGCTAGGGCTGAGCTGTCAAGTTTGGATTGATTAGTGATAATAAAAAGCGAACGTAGAATGGGAGCCACGAACAAGTCGCAAGATAAGAAAAAATAAAGGTCAATTAGTTATTTAAATAATAAATAAACTACAAATATACTATTTCTCTGTTTCAAAATAAATGTCATTTTGATATTTTTCACATAAGAAAATTAACAAAAAGTCTTTTCTATCCCTAATAAATACATTAAATAACTCATTTTTCTAATTAATATACTAAAATAATAAGGTTAAAACTGGATATTCTGTTATAAATTTACATTGAAAACCTAAAACGATACTCTTTATGAAACAAAAACAAAACTCTAAAACGACACTCTTTATGAAACAGGGAGTATTTGTTTAACTAAAAGTGTTTGTGCGACTCTTTAAATGTAGTTTACATTTTTTTTTGGGCCAATCTTTAAATGTAGTTTACATATGAACAAATTAAGCTTTGGCAAAGCGTAGATCTGAGTCAGACGATAATGTTTTTTTTCGGACAAATAAAGTTAGGTTCCCTAAATTTTATAATATTATTTCCACATGATCACACCAATACACACTCAAACACATATAGTATACTCCTTAATAGTCGTATATATATAAAAACATTTATTCTCCAAACCATTAACACAAAATTAAGGGGAGAAAAGAAACATACTTCATTCTCTGAACAAACCCTCAATCAAAATGAACATGGAAGATCAGTTTCCTAAATTAGAAACTAGCTTCATGCACGAAAAGCTCTTGTCTTCTGGATTCTACGGGATCTTGAGTTCTTCGACGCCACCACAACTTCTAGGTGTTCCTATAATCTTGGAAGGTATGAAATCTCCTTTTCCTTCTTCTTCGTCTCCGAGCTACTTTATGTCCCCTCATGAGCTCACTTCTTCTATTCAAAAATCTCCAGTAGCTTCTGTTCCTTGGAACTTTCTAGATTATTTTCCTCAATCTCAACGTTCTGATCATCTTTCTAAACCCAAAAACCTTACCTTGTTCCTTAAAGAACCAAAGCTTCTAGAACTTTCTCAATCCAACAGTAACATGATCCCTTACCATAACTATATCCCCAACTCTCTCCACCAATCAGTTCAAAACAGAAACGAGTGGGTAGAGATCAATAAAGCCCTAACCAATTATCCCTCAAAAGGGTTTGGAAACTATTGGCTAAGCACCACGAAGACTCAGCCTATGAAGCTTGCCGCAGGGACAAAAACAAGAAAAGTTGTTCAGACGACAACACCAACGAAGCTGTATAGAGGAGTAAGGCAAAGACACTGGGGCAAATGGGTCGCGGAGATTAGGCTTCCAAGGAACAGAACTCGTGTTTGGCTCGGCACTTTTGAGACCGCTGAGCAAGCCGCAATGGCTTATGATACCGCGGCTTATATCTTGCGTGGCGAATACGCACACCTCAACTTTCCTGACCTAAAACACCAGCTCAAGTCCGGTTCCTTGCGTTCTATGATCGCCTCACTATTGGAGTCAAAGATTCAACAAATCTCCTCTTCCCAAGTAGCAAGTTCGACCGCTAACTCTCCTTCTCCTTCTCCTTCTCCTCCCCTTCCCAGAGTGGGAACATTAGTGCCCAAGAATCACATCACGATGGAGTCAGGAGAAGTTGTGATGATGAAGAAACAGAAACTCCAAAAAGAAGTGATGGAAGGAGATGGTGTACATGTACAATTGAGTAGAATGCCTTCTTTGGATATGGATCTCATTTGGGATGCTCTTTCACTTCCTCATTCTTCTTGACTTGATCAAATTAATGTCGTCACAAGCTTAATTATATACTTCTATCTTTTTGAGTTTTTCCGTACAAGAAATCATATTTTGACGCCAAGATTCAAGATTGGTTCGCACTTGGGGTTGAACACATTGTATTATTTCTTCTTACAATCACATGATTTAGTGGTTATCTTTTGCTTGTTTGCTCTAATGGAGCTTTAATATTGTTCTTTTCTTTTGCGGTTAGCAGTAACCATAAAATAGGAAAAAGTGTTTGTTTTCTTATGAGAAAATTTATAATTTAAAAGTCTGTTGCACCAACTCCAACTTCAAAATATAATATGTTAGATTATTTCCTACATTCCATATTGAATGAATAAAGCTCAAAAGTCAATAGAGAACTAGTATTAATAGCAGTACACACATAGAAGAGCCCAGGGCAGGTATAAATTTCAGAATATTTTAAGAATAATTATCTTTTTTCCTTAAATTTTAAATTGAATAACTCAAACTTGAGAAAAGAGGTGAGAAATCTAATGTTAGCACAGAAATAGAAAAAGGACAAATGTCACTAATATGGAAAGAGAAACTTAACTTTTTTAGTACGAAACTTAACTTAACCATCTCTATAAATTAAAGACCGCAACAAAAGCGTCACACTGTTTTAGTACGAAACGACGCTGTTTATACAATATCTTTTGACAAACAAAACCCAAGAAATCTCATATTATCCAGAGCAAAAACCAACATTTGAGTTTTTTGGCGGACGACATTGTACAAACTACAATGTAGTGCTCGTTGTGTATATTAGTGTCGTGTTATGAGTAAATACATACCTTGTTCTTCAAGCGCTATGCAAGTCCAAAGTAATAGACATGGCTTTTACCTGCAAGAAAGCATCAAACCATTTGAATTTTGTCTGAATCATACAAGATTCAACACCATTTGTTTAAGCCAAACAAGCTTGAAAAATCAAATTAGCAAGAACATGGCGCTCTTGGCCAAATCATACAACCAAGAACTCACCATTGTCGATGATGCAGGGCTTGAAGACTCTAGAGGCCAAAACCGGCTTGTTTTATCTCCAAAACGCTGAACTTGAGACTTACTCTGTTCCTTGGAAGAGAAACTACGCTTCTCTCTTCCCTTTTGTACAGCTCTTAACCTTCCTCTAAGCAACCCAACTTCACTCTCTATTTTCAGTCTCTCACAGTCAACAGCTGACATTGAGTTTCTCCGCATAGTCGGAGACATGTTTCTTTGTCCTTGTGAAAACGCCGGTCCGAGTCTATAACCTGTATCTGAGACACTTTGTGATCTGTCAAGTCTGAGATGGTCACAAGAAACATTCAGCTTCACTTTGTTATCTTCATCGGTCATTACATGGCAATCAATGTCAGGAAATGAAGTGCACTCCTCTCGATCTTGACTGATATCAATTAGAAGTCCCTCACTTCCTGACTGATCAAGCCCTGGATTCTGGTCTACTCCATTCACATTCATTTCCTCAGTATTCTCAACCTCCCTCAGTTTTTGTGAATCGGCATTATCATCATCTCCAAGCGCAAGAACACGACTATCCATATGATTAGTAAAGATCTCAAATCCAGGAGAGACATCCGTAGTCTCCATTTCATCCAATGGTTCAGCCATCTGTTGCGGTGTGTTGAGAAGAGGTTGCTCAGTCTGAAGAAACATTTGCCTGTAGGAGTCAACTTCCTTCTCCAAGAAATGTTTCTCCTTCTCCCTCCTCAGCAAAATCTCTTTGAGAATGCTCATCTCTTCCGCATCAAAAGCGGATTTCTCTTCTATCATCCGCTGATACTGCCTAGCTTCCATCTCCACCGACGTCTTCTCCTCCTGTAAACGCAGTATCATACCCAAAGCCTCGTCCGCAGCCGTAGCAGCAGCGTTTCTCTCTTTCTCCAGCTCAAGAGCTAACGCAGCACGAGCAGATCTTTCTTCCGCAAGAACTTGTTCAAGAATCTCATTCGGAAATCGTGCTATTATACCACTATAAGTTAGATCCACAGGGGAGCTATATGTACCTTCTCCTCCCGCCCATGAATATGTCCTCTCCGGTTGTTTGTTCTGAGCACAAGCTTCACCTCCAAACGAACTTAGCGAAACACTTTTCCGAAAGGAAACTTCCTCCAAGGCTACATTGTCATAGTTTGTATCAAGATCAAGATTCACTATCTAAAGTGATTACAAAAGTTTGCAAATAACAATCACTCAGTTAAGAGATACTGACCTTCAGAGTTAACAAGAAGAGGATCTTTAGGAGATTGCGGAGAGTTCTTGTTCTCTAAACTACTTTGCCAATGGTTCTTGAGACCATAAGGGGACCTATGGAAGCTAAGCCGCTTACTCTTAATCTTAAAGCTTCCTTTCTTCAAACTCTGCGAGGTCAAAAGATCGAAACCCGACGCACTCTCAACCTCATTCACAGAAGAAGTACAAAAGACCTCTCGTTCAAGCTCAACATCCCTACGCTCTCCTTTTCTCTTCTTTCCACCAAAATTTGCTTCTTTATATAGGATTGAATCAAAAGGTGTTCTCTTTCTCACACATCCTTGAACAGAAGAGATCCTTTTCACAGGGAGATTCACTAAACTCTCTTGGAAACACTTGCTCTTACGAGGGTCACTGAACAGGCCGTCACAAGGGCATGGGAGGCTCAAACCGAATACACCAAGGAGCTTCGAGGTTAAATAAACGAGAGACGAGGCGCAAAGCAGCGAGAAAGCTACAGAGAGATCAAGAAACGCAGCCACTAATCCTGAAAATGTCCAAGATCTTACCACATCGCAACGCATTTTAAAAAAATCTACACCTGTAAGAAGAGAAATTACTAAGAATTTCGGAGACATTTTCAAAGCTTCCACGCATCTAAAATAACAAGAATCGAGAAATGTTCATCTGAATCAGCTACGGATATACAGAAGACCTAACAATTTGTTAAATAAAATACACCAAATTGAACACTAAATCTCTTACAATATACAGAAGAAAATCTTTACAAAATTACAAGAACTGTATATCCAATCTATAACTAATATTGTAAAGCTAAAAAAATCAATCAATCTTACAAGATTTTAAGAATCAGATACTTAGAAAAACGGAAGCACCAAACGGAATTTTTGGATGATCAAACTATAACCCAACAGTCGCATCTTATCGATTCTTATATTGCAATCTAGTGAGATTTTCCCGAGAAAATTGAAAGTAAAAATCTAAGGATAGAAATCGAAGAGGTGGAAAAATGGGGAAGTGTAATTTGATAACAATCAAACGAGAAACTCACCGAGGGATCGTTCCAAGAGAAACTCCTTTGTGATCTGATTAATTTCAGAGGAGAATAAAAACTTACAGAAGGAAGAAGAAGTTGAGAAATCCAGGGGGAAGCACAACGTATATACTCTTCCTCTGCCGTTTTTTTTTTCTTTGTTCAAAAATCAAAACCTTTCCCTTTTTTCTTTAATTTTCAAACTTCAGTTGCAAAAATCAAAAATCAGCGTGCGAGTGAAACAATACGCCGCCGTTTCCATTGCCGACCCTATCTCTCTCGTTCTCTTTCTCTTGTCTTGAGATTTGTGTTTCACTTTTTTTAATTATTTTTAAATTTTACTAAACTTTTCATTGCGCTACGCGTATATACTATAAACTATTTAATACATATACTAGGTATATAACTCGCACTACGCACAAATTTGTATTAATATTTTGATTTATTTTTTTAGTTACTATCTTTAAAATTATTAAAAATTATATATATTTATATAAATTTTCATTTATTCAAAAGAATTTAATATATAATGTGTAATTTATCATATATTTATTTATAAATTTTTAAAAACTATTAGGTAAAATAATCCTTATGCAGAAAAGAAGTTAACCATAAAGGTGGATACAGACTACTAGAATAAAAAATAGAATTTGATAAACTTTTTCTGGCGAGGACATGAGCCACTTCGTTATTGCAGCGCTTCGTGTAGTTGAAAATAACTCCCTGAAAGTTTGCTGAGTATAATTTGATATCATTGCAGAGGTTATGAATGGAGTAATCCTTTATTTTCCCATTGAGCTGCTTCATTAGAAGTTGACAATCTCCTTCAAAAACAATGGTCTTGAAACCCATGAATCTTGCAGATTGAATTGCAATCAGAAGTGATTTACCTTCAGCTTCTAAAGCTGAAGCCGCTGTCCCTAAAAATGCAGAACCCCAATATTTTGCAGTTCCGTTATGATCTCGAATCATCCAACCCGCTTTAACCTTGTTTGTAGAGGTATCAAAAGCTGCGTCGAAATTGCATTTAATCGTACCTTGAGGTGGTCGAGTCCAAAACATATCTTGTGTAGTTGATGTTGATATTTCCGTGATAACTCTTTGACAATGTGCTGATGTAGTAAAAGCGTCAATGTATTCTTGAACTTCTGCGATAGCATATTCCACATCTCTCTCTGGTTTTGGAATTTTGTTTTGGAAAATAAATTTGTTTCTGAACTTCCATATTCTCCAAAGTATCCAAAACGGCAGTAGTTTCTGATGAGCTGATAGATGCTGGTTATCTTGAATATCAAAAAAACCAGTAATCTTTTCCTCAATGTCCGCCGAAGGTTGAACTAATGTCGGTGAAAACAGAGTTGAATGTCGCCAACACATCTCAGACAAAGGGCATAAAAACAACAGATGATTGATTGTTTCATCACATTGACAACATCGCTGACAAGTCGGGTCCATACGAATACCTCTTGTATTCAGTCTAGTAGCTGTGCCGATTGCTCTTGAGACTACTCTCCATAAAAAGTGCTTGATCTTTGGGAGAATATTCAGTTTCCATATCTTAGCCTTCAACTCGGGATTCTCTGGAGCCTGAATAAACTCTTCCGGAGGATGCAAAATTGTTGTACACATATGATAGCCCGTCCGAACAGAGTATTCGCCATTGTCATTATATTTCCAAACAATTCTATCTTCTTCCTGTTGTTGCGAGAGATAAATCGATCGGATCAAAGCTCTATCATCTTCATGAATAAAACTGTTCAAAACTTCATCATTCCAAAGTCTATGATTGCCCAAACTTGTGATTAACTCACTAACTTTTATATTCTCAAGAATAACCCCTGTAGAACTTCTTGCCGGTCTTGGAGGATTGCTTGGGATCCAATTATCCCTAAAAACATGGATAGAAGCCCCATCTCCAACGTTGAAACAAACTCCTGTCTTTATAATCTCAAGGCCTGCAAGTATTGATGACCACCCGTAGGATTGATTTCGCTGTTGTTTTGCGTCTAAAATTGATCCATCCTTGTAGTATTTTGCTCTAAACAGTTTTGCAAACAGGGAATCCGGAAACTGTAACAGCCGCCAAGCTTGCTTCGCCAACAAAGCGTCGTTGAAATTCTCCAAATCTTTAAAACCCAAACCACCTTCTTTCTTTGATAACTGCATCCTTTTCCAAGACACCCAAGGTATTCCTTTTTTATTTTGACTCTTCTCCCACCAGAATTTACAAATTACACTTGTAATTTCAGCCACCGTTGTTTTGGGAATCTTAAAACACGACATAGAGTAAACTGGCATGGAAATAGCCACTGATTTGAGAAGAATTTCCTTGCCTGCTTGTGTTAGAAGTTTCGCTGACCAAGAAGAGGTTCTCTTTTTGACCCCCTCAACGATGTATTTAAACATCTCAGTTTTCTTGCGGCTAAATTGCTCTGGTAATCCCAGATATTTACCGCCTCCTCCTTGATTATGAATGTCCAGGATACATTTCAACCTCGACTGTTGGTCCCCTGGAATCTTTGAACCGAAAGTGATCATTGACTTATGTTGATTAATCTTCTGTCCTGAACTCCGTTCATATAACTCAAAAATATTCTTGAGTGCTCGACAATTCCTCATATTGGCTTGGCAAAAAAATAGTGAATCATCTGCAAACAATAGATGGGTAATTGCAGGAACTCCATTACCAATTTTTATACCTTTAATCTTTCCCGTGTCAGCAGCCCTCCGCACTAAGTTACTCAAGACATCGGCACAGAGAATAAATAAGGTGATAAAGGGTCCCCTTGACGAAGTCCCCTCTCTGGAGTAATATAGCCTTGAGGAATGCCATTGATTAACACAGAAAAGCTCACCGTTGCCATTACCCACCCTATCCAAATCTCAGAAAAACCGAAAGCCCTCAATGTCTCTTTAAAGAAATCCCATTCTACACGATCATATGCTTTACTAATATCAGTTTTTATCGCCATATAAGTCTGTGAAACCCTCTTTCTTGACTTCAGGGAATGCATTAGCTCATTTGCAATCAACACATTATCTGTGGCCATACGACCAGGGATGAACGCAGCTTGAGACTCGGAGACTATATGATTTAGGCAGCCTTTAAGACGCAACACCAAGAGCTTCGAGATGATTTTATACATGACGTTGCATAAGGAAATCAGGCGATAATCCGAAAACGTAACTGAAATATTGATCTTCGAAATCAAGCACAAGTTAGTGTGATTAAGTTCTGACCTCATTACTCATGTTGCAAAGAAACGTCTGACCTCTCTCATTACATCCTGACCCACTATATCCCAGCATTGTTGGTAAAAACGTGCTGTAAAACCATCAGGACCCGGTCCCTTGTCAGCGCCAATCGAGCAAACTGCATCATGTATTTCTTTATCAGAGAACTCTTTGATCAAATTTTCATTGATCGTATCAGTTACCTTGGGCTGAAAACCTTCAAAAACACTTGCTAAAACTGGTAATTTACTGCTTGTGTAGACCTTTTTGAAAAATTGCTCCGCTTGATTGCTCACATCTTTGTCACCACGATGAGTATTTCCATCGTCACCCTGAATTGTTATATTTTTATTCAGTTCTCATTGTTTTAATTGTTAAATCGAGTTGTTGTAGATTTTTTAAATTGATAATTGATAATGGTTACTTTTTTTTATACATGTATTGTTAATTTTTATTTTTTTATTTAACTTTAAAATTTTTAAACCATATTAACATTTTATGATTTAATAAATATGTTGATTTGGATCAATCAGATTGAATTTACTTTTTTTGTTGGACATAATTTGTTAAATTAAATTTTAATGTTTTAATTATAGTTGATAATTTTTGGTTTGATTTAAAAGCTGATATGGACCAATTAAATCAAGTTTTTCCGTCCTAATCATACTTAAATTTTGTTATTTAATGAATATGCTGATGTGGATCAATCATATCGAGTTTTTTAATCTCATGTGGACGTCCTCAATGCACTATGCCATCAACTTTTATATATTATATGATTTTGATTAAATAAATTTTATATTATTTAAAATATAATAATAAAAAAATTTATATACTGTTTAGTTATAAAAAATTATTTAGTGATTTTTATATAGCTAATTTTTAAAATAATTATGATTATTTTAAATTTTTTGATTTATATATATTATATTATAAATTTATCATAAAATAATTATTTATGATATGTATCATCTATTTTATGTTACCTATTTTAGAAACATAATTTAAAATAATTAACCAATTTAAATAGTAAATTGTATTCAATTTTTAACTATTTAAAATTATTTTTGTTTTTTATTTTGAGTTTTATTGCTGGTGAATTTGGATCAATGAAATAATTTTTTTTTATAATTTAAATGATTTTTTTTATAATCTAATAATATGCTAATTTTTTTAATAGAAAATAAGATCTAATTTCTAGACTTTTTAATTCGTTTTAGTTAGTAACTAGGCGTTTTTCCGCACTTTCTGCGGAGTTCGATTAATTTTTTTTTAAAAGTATAACATTAGTTTATTTATAGATAAAAATCAGATTTTATAATAATTCAAAACCAAACTTAATATATTTTAAAAATACAATTTTCATGAGTAAATTATTTTTTGCGACAAAGCAAAATATATTATTTATATCTTATTCTTTTAATATCTTTTATATTATCCGATAAAAACTTATATGTATATTTTGCTGTTTTGTTGCATTTATCAAACATGATAAATAATTCTCTTCTTTTGATATAAATTGGTAGATTAAAATTAATGAAATTCAAAGTTTGCATAAAAAAAAAACATAGCAATCCAAAATGACCAAAACTAAAGGATCCTTGTTTCATATCAACTTAACATTAATAAATATATAGAGTTTTAAAAGGGTTTAAATGATTTAGGATTTTACTTGTGGTTGCATAAATCAATTAGGTTAGTCAACATATTAGTAGGTTAAACAATCACATTAAAATTAGTTTAATAAAATAATTTGGTTTTTTTTATGATATAATATTTTTTTTTGTTTTTTTACAAAAAAAATAATTAGGTTTTTTTATTTATTTATGCTAGTTACTTTTTTTAGTAAACTGAATATTTTTATGATATAAACTCGAATTTGGAAATCTAGGTTTAAAAAACCGAAAATCAATTAAAATTAAATGATATTAATTGTTAATTTTATTAAGAGTAATTAAAGTAAATTCACATAAGGGGCAAAAGATAATCAACCATCATCATTCTCAACCACAGCCCAACTTGCTTGCCAATTAATAATATGATTATTTAAAAATTTAAAAAC